TCGAAATAAAATCCAGTTGTATAAAATTCATATTATTTGTAACATGAAGTGGACACAACAAAATAAATGTTAAAATAAATGTTCCGCAGAGTAACAACGTCTATAGAAAAGTGAGGTGTGTTGTATGTGGCACTCATGATACTTTTATTTGATGTTGAATTTTTACATTTTGATTAGGACTTTAATGGCCATTAAGATTTGATTTCGTCTAAGTTGATTTGCTTAATTTTTGTCTGAGCTGCATTGATCTAGTTCGTTAAATTATGTATAATACGGAGTACCAATCTTACTATGGGGTGTTTGGAACTGATTCTACTTCTGCTTCTTTTTTAAAGTAGAAGTAGAATCCGAATCAGTTTTCAAAAGTTGGTCTCCCCCAGCTTTTAAAAAATTGATTATAGGAGTAAATTAGAGCACCAGAATCACTTCTACACTTTCACCTAAACACTCCAGCTTCTGTTTCTGCTCCCTGAAGGAGAAGAAGCAGTTTTAAGAATCAGATCCAAACACACCCTATATTCTCTATTCCACAAAAGAACTTTTTAGTTTCCTTTTTAATTTATTTTGACTATACAAAACAAATTTAATACTTCATATATTTCCTTCGTCCCATAAAAATCTTTTAAATTACCATTTTGTGATGTCCCAAAAAAATTTCCCGCTTACAATTTTTAGAAAATTTTGTATGAATAACATTCATTTATCTTTTTCTTACTCAATAACAATCATATATTTTCACTTTACTTTGACTTTCTTAATAAGTGATCGTTTGATAACACTATATATGTTTCGGCTTATCAAGCTTATCAGCCAACTTTTTCATTAAACATGTAATTTTTGTTTTCGCACGCTGACTTGTGTAATAATAAGAAAAAATAAGGTTAAAGTAACTTTTGTGACTGTATCGGCAGAAGTTACCGTAGAGAAACATTTTAGCTATTTCACAAAAAACATCATTATTTTACTCATAAAATAAGAAGTATATTTTAAAAATAATTTTTTTCTTAAATTAGCATAGTCAACCAATGTAGCCATATGTTGCATATAGATGTAGCAAGTGTTCGCAGCAAGGTACCTGCATCTTTATCTATATTTAATACTTCCTCTGTCCCCCAATTAAGTTCTCACTTTCCTTTTGGGACAGTTCTTAAATTAAGTCCACACTTCAATACATTCCTTATTTGACAAATTATCTCCATCAAAACAGCGTCAAACAGTGCAAAACAGTGTCCAAACAGTGTCCAAACAGTGTTTGAACCATGCAAAACAGTGCATTCCACAGTAAAGTCAAATTTATTTTCTTAATATGTGTGAAATCAAACCGGAAACTTAATTGGGGGACGGAGGGAGTATTGTATGAAGTAAAAACCGTATTGGGATCCTTTGCCACACGATAGAGTGCCTTGCGCGCATGGGAGCGTCGAATGGGAGGAGAAAGGCCTCGGGATCTGCACATCAATATGTCGACGATCCATTTTTTTGATCAGATGGTTCCAAAGAACAGTTGCTTTGAAGTACGGCAGAGTTTCCAAACCCATGAAAACCTACTCATTCAAGCTTTACTAAATTATTATAAGTTAAAATAAGACAATCTAGAAATGAAGAATTCTACTTGAAACGGAAGCAGATTTAGGGTTGGTTTGCAACCGCTTTTAAAAAAGCACTTCTCAACTTTTGGCTTTAAAAAAGCACTTATTTTCCCAAACACTACAACTTTTATTTTTCTCGGCTTCCGCGTCAAAAGTGCTTTTACTTTTTCTAATACACAAAAAACACTTATTTTACCAAACACTACCCACTTTTACTTTTCAAAATCATTTTTTTCTCAAACACTATCAACTTTTATTTAATCACTTCTCCCCATTTCATTAAAAAAAGCACTTTTTTAAAAGCAGAAGCTGTTGCAAACAGACCCTTACACACACCGGTTACATCGTTTTTGAAATAAAAAGTAAAAATATCAACACCCTATCAAAAAGTTGTACTCCATAATACGTGGTATAACAATTAAAAAAAGACTCATCATGCGCAAATTATATCGTGCAACCGGCGCACTATGAAGATGGTGCGCCCCGTTGCAAAACGACGGAGTATTGAGACCTGATTTCTTTATTTTTATCCTTTTGTTTTTAAAAAATGGTAATAACTTTTTTATTTTTGATCCGATTTTTATAAAATTTATATCAACATTTTTTATTTTTCATGATCTTTCAAATGAAACCAATATTGCTTATGTAATTTTAAGAAATTATCGAACTATTATATTAATGTGTATTGGATTATAAGGAAAACCAAACTAAATTTAATACAGAAAAATAATTGTGTAAATCACAAATTATCTTAAAATTGTGTATATAAAAAATTTATTGTATTAAGTATTTATACATGTGATTTACATATTTTTATAAGTGAAGTTACATATTTTTACACGTAAAGTTACATATTTCTACACGCGAGTTACATATATATATACACACGAGTTGCATTTGACTTGCCTGAACGCGAGTTACATATATTTACACATAGAGTTACATATTTTTACACGCAAAGTTACATATTTATACACGCGAGTTACATATTTATACACACAAGTTGCATTTGACCTGTCTGAACGCGAGTTACATATTTTTTTAAGTAAAGTTACATATTTTTACACGTAGATTTACATATTTATACACACGAGTTGCATTTGGACTGACTGGACGTGAGTTACATATTTCTACACGTAAAATTACATATTTTACATAGATTAAAATTACATAGGCAATATTGGTCTCATTTGAAAGATCATGAAAAATTAAAAATGTTGGTATAAATTTTATAAAAATCGGATCAAAAATAAAAAAGTTATTACCATTTTTAAAAAAAAAGAGAAATAAAAAATAAAGATCTGGTGCTTGCCAAATTAAATACGCTGCTTGCCAAAAACCGTATGCCGGTATACGGTGCTCACCGTATACCGGTCATACGGTATAACAACTGCTCATCATGAGGCTACAATGATAACAAAAAAAAAACTGCACAAACTCCACCGATGTCTCCATCTGCAAGAGAATTGACCCGTCATCACCAAACTCCAAAAAGCTTGTTCCAACCCACGAACATAGGTTCATTCATCTCCATCCGCAAGAGGGTCCGACCCGTCATCATGCCGTTGTCTGTTAAGGTCGCTGGAGAGAGAAACGCGTATTCTGGAAAGCGACAACCCATTCAGCGAAGCCAGTAGCGAGTGGGTGTCGGAGCCCGGCCGCCTGTCCTGTCCACTCAGGCGTTGGCGGATGATCCCGTCCCAGCCAAGTCTGGTCACCCTTCCCAACGGTTCCCGGCTCACTTCAGGCGAAGAAAAGCAAAGATTTCTTCCGTGTAAGGAGATGTTTTGATAGATTTGCACTCCGTATGTTCCTTGACTTCATTCTCGTTATGTTGGTATGCATAACTCTTTAAAGGAAATAGCATTCTGTGTTTCAATGGAAATCAATAGCCTTTGGATGAGAACAAAAATTGATTTCTAACCTTTTTCTGTGTATCTCTTCACGATTCTGGACACCAAATTAGGACACTTGCATTGTTCATCTTAAATACTGTAGCTTCATCATAATTTTCTTTGACTTGCTTTATCTGATTATCTCTCCAGGCTCCAGCTCTCTCACGAGAAAGATGGACAAATTGGCAAAAAAAAAAAAATTGGCGAAGTAATACACAGTGCTATTTAAAATAGCAAATTGACGTGTTGGCTTAGCTTTCTTTCTTTTTTTTTTTTTATCCCGACGTGTTGGCTTAGCATATACTAATGCGGACGGTAAAATTATTTGTTGGGAAGACTCCTTTTCCGACGGTAAAATTGTTTATTAGATCTCCATAGATATTTTTTAACTCCTGCATTATACATTAAATGCTCTCAATATGAGTTGTCATGTCGACCGAAACAATCAATTGATTTCATATGTTGCTTTACGCCTTCCAACACCATAGGCCGGTAGACTATAGGTTTACGAATTACGACTCCCCCAATGAGCTAGCTGTGATTCAACCTGACACATGCTTCATTTGGTTACCCAATGAACATTTTAATTTCATTGGCCCAACAGGCAACAGTAGCAAAAAAATTCAACCTGATTGTGTGACTTGAACCGACCCATTAATGACCCGAGATTTTGAGCGTGAAAACCACCTCCAATTCCACCTCTTTTTATATAGAGGTAGATGTGCTTGTATTTAGAATGTAATTGTAGTCACTTGTAACTTTTATGAAATAAATGTTACTTTGATGTTAATAAATTTTGAATATAATTTTATGTAGGTTTGTTGTGAAAATTAAATTTTGACTCCAAAATCAGGTATCGATTCATGTTACTGACCCCAAAATCAGTTGGAGTGTTGTTGTAAAATACTTGGATGTTGTTGTTGAAGTGTATATAAGTGCTATTCATACATGTTTTATTGATCGAAAAACTAAATGGTTAGTCTTAAACTTATTTTGGTGACTTGTTATAGGTAATTTGCATTGAACATAATTATTCGATTTGCAGAAAATGGATAGGAATTATGGAAGTTAATATTACTTCTTATGTTTTCTTTTCTTTTATGACATTATGAAAACACAAATATTACTTTAACCACGCACAAACAATATAAATAAAGACATAGACGATGCTTCAACTACGTACAGACAAAATAAATGAACACACATCCAATGTTTTAACCACACATAGACAATATAAAATAAGAAATAGATGATGATTCAACTACACACAGACAATATTGTTTGTGTTTTTTTTGTTGCTAACACATACAATAATAACAACAGTTTTCTGGTCACAAGCAATTATATGTGACGATAAAAATTTATTTTACCAAATATACTTACAACCAAACTATTTTTGTGTGTATTCAGATAACAGTCTTATTATGTACTCAAACTCAAACAACTATTTTCCATGTTAATAAAAAAACAAGTCCATTTCATGTGAAGAACACAAACAAACATTGTATATTTTGTGTGACAATCCATGTCTTTCACACTAATAAGAGTACGGAGTAATAATTAAGTACGGATAAGATGCAGTATTAATAACTAGAGGGGAATTCTATATACACTCACCCATTTACTAATCACACACACTTATTTACGTTTCTTTTCTATATTTCCAATTATATCCTGTTAATCACATATGGCTACAACGGATGATGTTTGAAGTTTCAGAACCAAGGAAAAAGTGGATGAAGATCTTATCTCTCTCTGATTTGTTTGCCTTTCCAGCAAGTCGAAACTATTGTTGGAGTTTTATATGCGTGAAAATCAAGATGTGAGGATCATTAGCTCCGAAATTAAGCACACCTCCATCCCCATCGTGACAGATTTAATCCGGACAACGCTATGGAAAGTGCCGCCATGTTCATCCCAACTGTATCTTGTTTTGATTTCATTGCAGAAATTGAATCTCAATTTATTGAATTGCTAGAATACACCAATTGATTAACAATAGAAACTGAAATTAAATTAAATATGGAGAAAGAACAAAGAGGTGGGAGTCGCAAGTAAATATAAATGGTAAAGATTAGAAATCGGCGACATTCCTCTCTTGTTCGAGAAAATCTAGATCGATCAAGAACTTTATTCGAAATAATGTCAAAGTAGAAGAAGAAAATCAATGTCCGCGATTACGATCTCTGGTTCATTTATACACCCTCCTCTATTGATACTTACCAGCTACAAATTAACGTAGCCATGAACACCGGCGGTGAAGCACTGCTGACGAGTACTTCCATGAGAACTGCGACAAAAGACAAGTTTAGCACGGCGAAATAATCCTCTTGGAGAAAGCATATAAATCCTTTTTGTGGACAAGTCAAAATTAGAGAACGGCTACAACTCTGGGGATGCATTACTCATGGTCTGTACTCTGTAGTAGATGGATTCAAGGGTAAAATAGATATTTCGAATGGTTAGGGGCTGTAATTAGCAATTTTGTAACTGTGAATAGAATTACCCTAACTAGAAGAGAAAAAACTACAAAAAGATGTCAAGTACTCCATAATATTTAGAAACGAAAGTATCAAAAGACACATGAAAATATGACATGAGAGCCCAAAAAAGACACACAACTGATTTATTGACGAAGTGGAAAAGGTTTGATCTTTCTTGGTGGGGATGGTTGTTTTTCTTGGGATCAAAACGATCATAATGCAACACAAAGTCTTCAGGCCGAGGGAGAGGGGAGTGATATCCAACAACATGTCTTCAACTTTTTGGTTTCCTTCTCCACACAGAACGGCAGCCTGGTCAGCAGCTCCATAGGCCATAGCTTCATAGGGAATGCCCTTGCAAAGCTCTTTGCCATTGAAGAAATCATGTGGCATTTGTTGAACCTTTGGGGATCCACCCACAAGGACAACACACTGCACGTTGCTCTTATTCATATTGGCATCTCTCAAACACTTCTCCACCAGGTCCATACACTTGCTAAATATGATACAATAATCATGGAATAGAACAAGTACAAAAATTATTCCAATTTAGTGTGAAGCACGTTCTAAACATCACAATGGGAAGCTTAATTTCCGGACAGATTTAGGGAATGTTTGATACTCCAAGGGCTATGCCAATACACCACACAGAAAACGAGTTATATATACATGTAATTTAGTAAGATTCATAACACCAATTAAGTTCGATTGAGTGGTATGGCAAAACCACATGAAAATGAATATTTACTAGTGAGTTTAAAATTAATATTATCAAATTTTAAAATACATTGAGTGAAGTGGACTAACAAACAAATACTAGTAATAATCAAATAAAATAGTCAAACAAATTAAAGGTCATTCAAGCCCAATTTCAACTAAAAAATAGAAAATAATGTCCATAATCCATCATTTCCATCACCCATAATAAAAAAGGTGAATTAACACACAAAAATAGTGAATATGAATAAAAAGATCATTGAAGCATTTCAACAAACACCTTATGAGCATAAAAGTTAAATAGAGTAATTGAATTAAAATTAATTCATACCAATCTCAAATCTATAACAATGTCATCAAGCATTCAACGTTAGAACATACTCGATATTATATATTATATATATAATCGAAAAATGGAAACAATTATTATGACCCTAAATACATAACAAATGTAAAATTATTGGAAAATGGAAAAATGATACGGAATAGTTAGCAGAGCAGCAAAACCCCAAGGCTTGAGCTATGGCTTGAAAAATGGAAAAATAGATGATAGCCAAACCAAGGGATGGTAAGCCTTCCGTAAAAATGTAGATTTGGAGGAAGGTATTTGAAGAAGAAACAAAAGAAAATGAAAGAGAGAGGGGTAAGAGCGTAAGGCAGGGAGATAGGATGTAGAACTGTAGATCAGAGGGAGAGAGAAGAGGTAAAAGAGGAGTAAATTTCAGGAGAATTGCTAGTTGTACACACATTTGTACACCTCTTATACCCACTATATATACCCAAAGAAATTACCCCCCTTTCACCTCGTTTCACCATCCGCCTTTCCCCCCGCTTCATTCGTCCGCACCCTTCTTTATCTTTTTTTTTGTCTCTCCCTTCCCAAATCCCTAATTCCCCAAGATATTTTCTGGTCATCACTTGTCTTCAAGCAGGAATCGAGTCCAACTCCTTCAGAGTGGAATCCGCCTTCAAGTTTGAGTCCAGTGAAGGGTGTGGTTGCAGCTGGAATGGATGTAGACGACGAGGCTGACGGTCGATTTATTCCGCTCGAACTGTGGCACCTTCTGGACTGAACTCAATTACATTGGTGCGTATATTTGGTTATTTTTATTACTTTGTGCGTGTGGGGAGTTGGGGGAAGGGGCTTTACTCATTTGCTTATTATTTTACACTCTCCGTTGATGTTTGTTCCTGTGAAAGACTTTTAACATAATTTTATGAATTCTATTTTGTTCTATGAGTTAATTTACCTCCATGTGTTCAAGTTATTTTTTTTGCATTTATAGAAGTCGTTTTTTTTGTCCTAAAAAATTTTCTGGGAGGCTCATTGTGCAGCAAGTGAAATCCACGTATCATTATCATTTAGTTTACGACTTTAGATTTGTAATTTGTATATTATGTATGGTATAACACTGAGTAATTGAGTATGTTTATTGTAAGAGAATGTGGTGTTATTTATTGAAATTTTAATTCAATCACTCTAGTTCTCATTTATGCTCATACCATGTGTGTTGAAATGACTCAATCATTTTTTTTACTAACTCTTAACTTGTATTAAAATTTTATGTTAAGTAGTTCAACATTCTATGTTAACATTGGTTGAATTTTAGGAAGGATCTAAACACACCATTTAGCATGGTTAAAACGTTTCTAAAGCAATATAAATGAACAAGGCTAATGTGCAAAGCTGTCCGATTAATTTTGTACTATTTGATCAAGATTCAATAAGGCTTTTGTGTACTTGAGTGATGTTTAGTTTGCTGAGCAATGTATTGTGTTGTTTGAGATTGAAGGATTTACCATTTTATGATGTACATATTTCACATTGTTAGTCTAACTACTCCATTGTTTAAGTCTTTGTAATTTAAGTCTTGCTATATAGTTCGTTCCATATTTTCTTTCTTTGTAATTATCAAAATTATGAAATGCTATTTGTTTTAATATGTATTGATTCCTTACAGTTTGATCAGGATTTTGGAAGAGGAACCAATGGCCAGACAATGACATTAAGATTATATATATTCTTGTCATTACTATATATCTACTTTCAAGGCACAAACAAAAGATCAGATGAACATAATGGCAGGAAACTCTAATTAGCCGAGAACCGAGAAGAAGATGAATGAGGGACATAGCAACGAACCTTTTCCCTGTTACATCAGCTTTGTGAGATCCGAAGTATAAGATCATAAAATTTAAGTCTTGTAATGGTCTTGTATTCATTATGTTACCTTTATTAATTAATATGTTCATAGTAATTTGTTTGTAAATTTGTAATTATAATTTATAATTACATATGTATGGAATATGAAAAACAATTAATTTTAATGTATTTGTAAATTTGTACAGGTAATATGTTATTTGGTGACTTGTTATATGTAATTTAAATGAGCATGGAAAATTGTTATCTATGCACATACAAATAAGGGAAAAGTACATAAAACGTACCTGTGGTTTGGGCCATTTTCAGATAGGGGCATGTGTTTCATTTTCTAACAAAGTGGGGCATGTGTTTCAATTCCGTTATCATAGCAGGGGCATGACCTCTAACGCCGTTAGAAAAATTAACCCCAATTTTAAAAAGTCTCCGAAAAATTAAAAGAAAAATACCGGGAGATGCGCCTCGTCAAGGAGATCAACAAACTATCTTTATTTTTTTGTTTCCAGCCACCATATCTCCAGAAAGTCCACCATAAAATTGATATTAACGAATTTGTTTTTAAAAAATAATCCAAATAGAGCCGAAAAATCCAAAGAGAAAGATAGTTTGTTGATCTCCTTTACGAGGCGCACCTCCCAGTATTTTTCTTTTAACTTTGCGATGACTTTTTAAAATCGGAGTTAATTTTTCTAACGGCGTTAGACGCCGTGCCCCTGCTATGATAACGGAATTGAAACACATGCCCCACTTTGTCAGAAAATGAAACACATGCCCCTATCTGAAAATGGTCCAAACCACAGGTACGTTTTCTGTACTTTTCCCTACAAATAAAGTACTAAACAAACATTACTTTAATCATTCACACAGACGACACCTATAAGTGAAGACATAGACGATGCCTGACTATGGCTTAATACACACATATATATAATAAGTGAAGACATACACATTTTTTCGATTATGCTTCGACAAAATAAACGTACACACAAACAATTATTATCTACACACGGACAAAATAAATGAAACACAGATAATGTATTTATCATGCACAGACAATATAGAAAAGATATAGACGATGCTTCGACTTCACTCAAACAAAATAAACAAACATATAACGATGTTTCAACCACACAGACGATAATCATTCATAAGTCATAACCACACCCAAGCAACTCATATGGACATTCCAGATATAATTACCAAATACATATTCACGAAGACTAACTTCCAAGTTTATACAAGTATTAAAGGTTGGAAATGACTTTCACATGAAGCGTCTTACTACAATTTAGCATAAAGCTCACTTTAAGTTTACTACAATTGGAGAAATGAAAGAAACGAAAGGAGAATTTTGAGGGATGAGCTTGGGCGAGCTTTTATTTATTAATGCTCAGACCAGTTCGCACTACGCCCAACCCTGTATAAGCCAATACTCTATTTTTGGGACTTTGAGTATTTTTTCAGTTTGCAACGCAAATCAGGAGGTTAAGCAGTAACAAGTCTTATTTTGTTGGCAGCTTCTCTTTTGACTCCAAGGTTGGGCCAAATCTGGACAAGCCAAGACTCTCTTTTTTGGACTCTGAGTATTCTTCAGTTTGCTACACAAATAAGAAGGTTAAGCAGTAGCTAATCTTATTTTGTTGGCGGCGTCTCTTTTGACTCCAGTGTTGGGCCAAATCTAGCACCAACTACAAACTCCATCTAGCAAATACACATAAAAGTGTAAGAAAACTCACAAGATAAAAGTAATAAAAGAGATTGTATAGTCATTAACAGTTACACATTCATACTACATGAAGCTTGGTAAGTCGAAGGTGGATCTGGCTGAACTCCCTGCACTCATCAAGTTTCATTTCCCCAATCACCACCCCAAATAATTAACACCCCAAATAATTACTGCAAGTGGTATTAGATTGTGTAGCAAGCCTGCATCCCCATAGTCCGCACATGAGTTAATTCTCTTTAATGTCTACTAGGCCGTTGGCTTTATGTTCTGCAATGCATGGTTTAAGAAAAATATAGAGTCAATTCCCTAAATAGGACTAAAAAGTGGCAAAATTGCACAAGTAGGACTAAAATTTTTAAATTCCCTTAATAGGACTATTTATGTGTGTTTGGACAAATATACCCTTGTAACTTGTGAAATGTTTTAATTAATAATAAAATCATAAAAACATAATAAGAATCGAAAAAAATACTAAAAATCATAAAAAAAATAATAGAAAATAAATAAAAATATTTTTTAAAAAAATTAAAAAAAAATAAATTTTTTTAAAAAATTTAAAAAAAATAAAAAAAATCGTAAAATTTAAAAAAAAAACATTACCACGCCTGCCACCCCCAGCACCACCAGATCCCATCACCGGAGAAAAATATGCCAACATTTTAAATAATGCCATAATGACGGCATATTCAATGAAAATGTTGGCATATTGAAGAGTAATTATGCCACATTTTTGGCATTTTCAGAAAAAGATGGCATTTTTTACCAAAAGTGGAAGAAATTTCACCAATCGGAGGTGTTTGGTGCTGGGAGGCGGCGGGAGGCGGCGGGAGGCGGCGGGAAAGGTATCCATAATTTTTTTTCATTTTTTATGGATTTTTACTATTTTTTATTATTTTTTTTTAAAAAAAAAAAGAAAATAAATTAAATTTTTTATTTTATAAATATTTTATAAATTTTTATAATTTTTTTACGTTTTTTAAACATTTTTTACGTTTTTTTATGATTTTATTATGAATTAAAGCATTTCATTATGAATTAATACTCTTAGGGGTATTTAGGGTAGAAAATCAATGTTTAGTCCTATTTAGGGAATTTAAAAAGTAGTAGTCCTATTTGTGCTTTTTAGGAACTCAATAGTCCTATTCAGGACAATTTCCGAAAAATATATACAATTATAGTAATTAAACCAGTTCCATATTTGAACACAACTGAAAAGAATGAAAAGGGAGAGTAAAAGTCTTGGATTCAAACAAAAAGAAATCATTGAGTCATTTCAACAAACATGTTATCAGCATAAATGTGAAATAGAATAATTGAATTGAAAGTTCAATAATTAACACTACATTCTCTTACAATAATACAAAATATTCAATTACTTAGTGTTATACCACACATTATACACAAATAATCAGAAATTTTAAACAAACAAAACCCTAAAGTGTATATAGAAAAATCGAAGAAATTATAACCTCAATTTATGGGATGGTTGAGCAGAGCCTGTTCTTTGAGCGGACCATTTCATCCTAGCCGTCTGCACCGATTATGGTGACAACCATGGCTGATGGCAGAATCGAACAGATGAAATAGGCAGAGAGGAAAAAGAAGAAAGAGAGAAGAGGGGGTGAGATGCGTAGGAAAAGAGACGTGAGAGAGGAAATGAGAAGAGAAAGGGTAAAAAAAAAGTAGAGAAGGTAAGAGAAATAGAGGCTTTTTATAGAGGCTTTTTATAGTGTGTGCATATGTGTGTATAAGTGTGTGTACAAAGAGTATTTTCGAAATTTTAGGGAGTAATTTTTTTCCTTTTTAACGTCTGTAGAGAGTGTGTAGACAAGTGTGTACAACAATCATTTTTGGTTTGGATAATAAGTAAGTTTGGAATTA